TTATATTAAATATTACATATATAAAATATATTATTTATTTTTTTAAAAATTTATTTAAATAAATTTAGGTGTAATTTTTAAATTCAAATATTTTTTTTAAATTAAGTTGTTTTTAATAAGCACCCTTTAAACCCATTTAATTATTTTCCACAATCAACACAACTTTATACCTTCGTTTTTATTGATATTGAAATTTTATTTTTTTGTTTTTCCAATCTTCAATACTTAAATGTCTAACAAAATTGAATGCGATTGATCGTTGCTCTTCGAAAGCGTTCAACACTCTCTTTTATTAACTGCACACAAAGCAGACCCACCGCCGACCCACAACATCGGGTCGGCACACACCGAGTAAATAAACTTCAAAGTTCTGCGAGCGCCACAGTGGAACAGCTGTTCCACTGCGCTCACCGACACTCAGTGCTTCGCCCATAATGAAATAAAATGTTAAAAAAACTATACATTATCTTTGGCATTACATTGGCAGCGGTTAAAATAACGTTTCAGAACAAATTTGCATTTGAGCGGATGCGGATGTGCGATCATTTTTGTACGCGAGAAAACCTTTAAACGATTGCGAAATTATTTGTATTTAAAAAAATCGTGCGACTAAAACGTTTTATTTTGAATGAAACATTCGAAACATTCGAATTTAGTGAATGTAAATTTATTACTAAGCATCTGCCGCACCGAAAGTGATAAAATATATTAATAAATTACTAAAACAAAAAAAAACGGAAAAAATCATCGGCTGTGATTTATAGAGTCGGTTTTTTTTAAATCTGTTACATCTTGATTAAAATATAAAAAGTGTTTGATAGATGTGACTTTAATTTATGGTTAATTATATCTAATTTAAAAAAATTAAAATAATTAAATTGCAAATGCATTTCCTATATTTCCTGTTCGCTGTCAATGTTTTAACAATTGTTTAAATTATTATTAAATTAAAATTAAAAATTAATATGATTGATATAGAAACAAAAAACGACCATGATTGTAGTCTAATAATGTAGCATAACAATCTAACGTTTGCATTATAATGAATTTTTTGCTGTTTAATTTTTACATTCCCTGTAAAAAATATATTAAATTTCAGTAACGAAATTCAACAAACAAAACAACGATTAAAAAAAACGACTACAATTTTATTAGAATGACAACAACAATTAAAAATATTAAAAAATGTATTCACAAACTGATAAGAGCAACAATGCAGCAGCCCCGCTGAATTATCTTCGTGCTAATCGCTGCTGTCAGCCGCCGCAGTTGGCAGCGTCGAATCGATCGAGTGTGAAGAATGCATCTTCACAGAGCGATCAGAATTATCAGTTTCAACCCGGTTACCGGCGTATGATTTTGAAGAATTTCCATTCCTCGAAAACTGCACAAGCAACTTTAGTCGCGCGGCACACCTTAAATTTTGCAAGATTTTGTCGTTTTGTGCCATTTATTAAAATCGCTTTGATATTGTTTTATTTTAATTGCTTAATAAATCTACCGGGTGGTGTGCATGCAGCACCCCAGTCCTGTATACTCTGTGATAAAAAAGATTTGGAAGCCAAAGATCCTGGGGGAAGTAATTTTGAAGAGTTCCGATTTGAGCACCAAGTTACTCGACAAGATGCGATCAGCGCATTAAAGATGTTTAATAATAGCTTCGATCACGGTAAGTGACTAATTTTTCTGTAATTATAATTTTCAATTAAATATTTAACTACTTGAGTTTAGTTAAACTTACAGCATAGAATCAGAAATATAATACTCGTATATAGTAGATTTAATACATATATTTTTAAATTGAAGCAGAACTTAAGTGTGCATTGCAAGTATTGATATAATTTTTAACAAGTATTATTATTAATTTTGCGCACATATCAATTTCCAAATGTTAAATACTTCGTTAAATTTTTTTTTTTGAATAAATATTATTATTAATAATTAAATCGAGTATAAAGTACGTATTTATTTTTTGGTGGGTTTTCGAAATATATGCTTCATAAAACAACTTACAAGTAATATTTGGTACAACTGCTGAGTATATTTGAAATAAATAACAAGAAGACATAAATTTTATAAGCTTTTTTATTTGTTTAAATACGAATTCTATACTATTTTATTCAAACGATCGACATATGAAGTATTTGTGAATTAAGATATTTATTTCTTACTTTTAACAATTTAATTTATGTATAAATAAAATATTTAAGTATAACTGATGTTTTTATTATTCTTTATTTTTTATTTTTTATGAATGAAGGATTTAAATAAAGCTGAACACTTTTCGATATTCTTCCGAATATGAAACATAGCTATATCTCTGATCTATAATAAATATTTCTTCAACAACCTGTTAATCAGTATGTTACATCAGTAAGTAGTTTAGCTATTTATAGCTAAATATTAAACTTGAGGGATATTAACATATCCGATAGTACTCCATAAGTTGAGCAAATCATTAAAAATAATTAAAAAAATTTGCATTTAAGCAAATAAAAGAGGCTTGCAATTTTTTTTTTATTACTGTTATTTGATAACAGTATACCTCCGTTTTTTAAATAATTTATTGTTTTAATGGCCAAATATTTTTTAATAATAATTTTATTTTAATTTTGATGACGATTATAGAATATAGTCGAAATATCGGTTCACATAAAATCCTTTAAAAATCAAACCATTTTTTAAAAAGTGTATTATGTGGACCAATTTGCCCGTTAAAAAACAAAATTATTATAAAAATATACCTTGAAGTTTCAACAAATTTCTATTATTTAACTATTTGCTATTATTTAATTAAAATATACTCAGTAGTTCTAAAAATTTTGTTTGTTTAACGGTCAACGAATGTTTCGAGACTTTACTGAAATAAATCTTTATATTTACTCGATTTCGATATTTATTCTGATAAAATTCCGATACTGTAATTGAAAATTTATCAAATAAATTGCTCTGAGTAATACTATGCATTAACTGATGACATAGTAGTATATGCGTCAAATGTTATTAATGTATAGTACGAAAGTGTTCTTAAAATATTATAAATATTATGGAATTTTGTCACTGGAAATAATTATATAGATTATTAGACTATTATTTTTTGATCTTGATTACATATAATAATATATGATTACAGAAAAAACTTGATAAGTTTTGAAAAACTTTATGCAACTATCAGTTATTGTAAGTACTTAATGTATCTTACAATAACAAGATTTTGGTTATCAAATTTTAGGTCTAAGTTTTTAGAATGATAAGACATACCACCTTTAGTATAGTAAAGACATTTAAATTCACGACATGGAAAGGTCCGTATTAAATAAATAATAGTAAGATATAATTTAAATATCAATTTTTAGCTATTTTCACCATACAATACGGCCGGTAGTCAATCGACGGTAATAGTTCACACCTACTATATAGTTCTCATGCAGTTTAACACTTTATAAATCTACCATAACCTCCTTTGCTAAATTATCTTTATGTCTCTCGTATAGCATTCTCCATATTGTATTGTATATGATCAAATACTGTAATTTCATGCAATAATAATTCGATTAATTAACAATAAATTCGAGAGAGAGAGAGAGAAACAGAGAGAGAGAGAAACAGAGAGAGAAGTGAAAAAAATTTTCTACTTGTTTATCATATTTTAATATATCTATAAAAATACTAATATCTTTACATTAAGAAGAAGAAAAGAAGAATACATGCTTCTTTATCATATTTATATATATACATAAAGAGATATAATAGCCATCCCTCTTTCATATTGCATTGAAAAATCTTTTTAACATTTTTATAACTGCAATCATTATCCTTATCCTACATTTATATGATAATGTCTATTTTCTTTTTTTATTTAAGTAATATACTTAACTTGATTCCTTTCGTCAAATCGACGATACAGTCAATGTAAGTTTCTACTCTTCTCACTAAATTATATATCACAGCTGTACATGTTTGCTTATAAAAACAGTACCATATTATATTACCTATATTTATTAGAACTTGAGTTTCTAAGAATGATATTCAATATATTTCTGATTACATTCGACAAAATCAAATTTAATTGATTTCATGATACGATTATTATTGTTGTATATATTGTATATAAGTACATACATATGTCTTGCATACACATATATTTTATATATATTTTTGAAATAAATAATATAATACTTGTTTGGCAATAACAACCTGTTACCGGGTTGTCTCGTCTTCTTCAATCTCGTACATCAAATTCACTTAGTGCTTCCTTAACTTGATTACTCCATCGAAGACACGGTCTGGTGCCTTCTATACCTCTACACCTTCTATAATTTAAACTAACCTTTCAATTAAAAACTGTTAATTACTTTTTTAGAATAAAATATATTATCATAGATAAATAATGTTAGTAATAACTATAATGTTTATAAACGTTTATTAAATATTACAGTGATATTGAAATCAAATTGCAACTTTTTTCTTCAGAGACTAACAATGTTTCTTCTTTTTTTGTTGGAAGTTCATAAATCAGACGTTATTTTAAATGCTAAAAATATCTGTTACTTAAACTTAAATCATCGATTGATTGATTGAATTGATTTCTAGTAAAATAATAAATGTTGGTTATTATAGTAAAAACCTTTAATTATTTTAAAACTGTCAAGAATCAAGAAATTTTGGTGACTTGGAAGCATACAAGGAACATGCTTTGTTCTTACAAGTGACATAGAGTGGTAACCAGTAATTTATATTGAATTCTGTCAGATGTTAAAACTCTTCACATAAAGTCAGTGCTCTTCAAGAACACTTCTTCCAAGTGTCACTTGCATATTCGATTCTTATACTGTCATTAGGTTCAGGGTTTTGTTTTTAAATGTTTTGTTCAAACTAGGTTACCGTTAAAGTCCGGTTATAACATAGAGAATCGTATTTTTATTTTTTTATTTTAATTATCTGTTTTTCTTTCCAGAAAAAATTTGAAGATCTAAAACGTTTTCTTTTTCAATTTAAGGTTCTTCATGCAAGTCCGTTTCCTGTACAAAAACTGTTATGAAATATTGTCTGGGAGCACAGTTCATAAATGATCACTGCTGGTGTGAGCTAGGACATACTGAAGGTAAGTTTCTTTTGGCTTACTATTTATTTTTCTATTTCTATTTTTCTATTTTGTAATGTAGATAGCAATTTAATATGCTTACATTAGAATTTAATTGCTGCCAGGTTTTGCATCTGTTTCATTTTCAGTTAATATCAGATATCAAATTCTCAGTCATAATTACACTTGCAATTTAAACTTGTGACAAATGTTTTTTTTGTGCTAAAATATATTTTTTTTCTATATTTATTCTTCCATTTAACTATTTAATTACACATATAATTATAATCTCAGTATTGTAATAATACTTTTACAACCAAAAAATATCACACAATTAAAATTGTTCCAGTGTCAAAGCAAATTAAATTTTAAATTGACGTCCATTGAAGTTGTCTGAAAGAGTTAATAACAATTTCAGAAACAAAAAAAATATAATTGGAAATCAGAACAATCGAATAATTCAATATCAATTCTTGTTGGATAAATATTGAGAACTTGAATTAACTAAGCATATGTTACAGGTCCAAAAGTTTAAAACAGTTGTTTTTTATCCCTCTGAGTTAGTAAGTCTACACTCTGTTGAACTTACTCCTTATAGAATGGGAATTTATGGTAAATGTTTAAGAGAAAATTTCAAATTATTTAAAATTGATATCTATTTTATTAAAAAATATTTGGCAAATATCAATGGACACAGTTTTTTAAATGGGATTTTTAATTATTAGTTTAATACTTAATAGACCATCCTTTATTTGTAGGTACAATAGGTTTTATACCTAATTTATATAACATGACTTTAGTTGCTAAACTACAATAAAATCTAGTAACTTCTAATTAAACCAAACATTTTTAGAGAGTTTTTAGATAACAAATTTAATTTTGTCAAATTTATATTATATATTATTATGTTATATTATTACTAAAAAAATTGCTAAACATTTGGTGGAAATAAATTTTTAACGTATAAATAGCCTCTAAAAAATGAATTAAATTATAGGTATGTAGACATAAAATAAAAATAAATTATATAGATATGAATGAAATCTTAGAATAATAGTTTTCTTTCTTATATATTATATGATGTCAAGATTATTATTTAGATAGCTAGGAATTTTACAGTGTTTCTCAAACTGAAGCATACGTGTACGTTGACAAGGGGAAAATATAAAAAACAATTTTTATTGACGTTGTTGGGACAATGGTGACAAGGATCTGTTTTTGTATACGAACTTTATACACTAAGTAGTAATTTCTCCACATAAAGTGCGTGAGCAAAAGAAATAATTATTTATAGGGTAGGTGAAGAGTATAATTATGGTTTGTGGTTTCTTCAGAAGATTGTACAAACAAAATAAAAAAATGTTTGACGTTTGAAAAAGGACAAATGTTCCCATAATTGGTTCAATTTTTCCGAAGGATAGTAAGGGGTTAGAGCATTTATTTGGACATACAAAACCAGTTGGGACATATTGGACTACAGAGTAAACTGTGAATTAAAACACATCTGATAATTAATCTCATATTTGATTTATGGTCAGCCAAAAATTCAATTAATAAAATAATAAAATTTTATTGTTGTAATTTAATACTATTCGAAATACATCTCTATTGAAAACAATAGTTTATATTAAGAAATTAGTTTCCTTTGCCAAAACGAAAGGTAAAATTCAATTTAATAAATATTTAATTACACTTAATTTTTATCGTGCAATTGATTTACATTATATATGACTTCATATGTTCTATATCTAAGGCTATTTACATGATAAACTAAAAGATCAAGTTAGGTTTAATGTAACAGTAAAATTTATTCAAAATTTTAGTTACCCAGGGTGTTAATCTCAAAATTATTTGATATGTGTAGAATATATATTGATGTATTGAATTCCAGTAAAGAAGGATAGAAACAGTTATTTTTTATCTTCAGTGGCTTTTCTTAATGAAATTGACTATATTTATATATTTTTTCCTTCTTTTGGATTATATATATAAAATTATAGGTTTTGGTATAAAAATCAGTTTAGCATAAGTGGATCTATGAATTTACACTGACATTTTAAAGGAAAAATGCAAAAACTGTCTCGAAAACTATTTGGTACGATTTTTTCATTATGATTTTCGGTTTTAGTGGGGTGAAATACTTTATTTCGTGACTTTTACTGAAGTCTAGAAATTAAGTATTACTAAATTGAATTAGAGAAAGTATAGTAACATTAATAACACTTATAATTGTAAATTCTATCAAAACTGCAGAGCAGGGGTAGTTCGATATTTGACGGAGTTTTCAAGATTGAAATATTCTACTAATGTGTGTATATACTCTCATAAGTACTCGCATAATTGTTGTGATATGTGTTGGAACTTATGAATCATCTTCATAGCAGAGTTATTTTCTTTTCATCCTTTTTGGGTTAACAACATGATATATTTAAGGAGTGCATCCAAACAATGCAACGCAAATAAATAAATTATATTTTTAATGTGTATGTACATATGTAAACAGTATGTAATACAAACAACAATTATATATCTTAACCTTCTTATGGTGTTGAATAATTTACCTTGGAAAAATTTATTCGTTTGGAAAGCTAATTTTTAAATGTTTATAAAATAAATAAAAAAATTACTTTTGAGGTTTAATAAAGTGAATTTGTAAATAAACGATAATAAACTCAATGCTCTGGGAAGTAAATGTTTATTTGGTTCCAAGTACATTTATTCCTATTAACGTTGTCTAATGCATCGATGTTTTTCTTGCCTTTTTATTTAATTTATTTATAATTTGTATTCTTTTTTTTATAAATTTTGATATTCAGAGTGTAATGAATCGTTAATCTTTCAAATTAATTTAGAATTATATGTAAATTTGTGCAATCATGTAGAAACTAATTGTTTCGGTGATTGTAAATGCACGTGTTTATCAGTTTTTAAAGTCAAATTCTAGACGTTTTATCCACAAAATAGTAAAATATTTCAATTTTGCTTAATTAACTGTTTTTATTTTTGTATTTTGTTTTAAAATCATTTATTTAATAATGAATAATATAAGTTTATAACTCAAATTTTTTTAATGTGTTGTTAGTTACGCCCATTATTTACAAACTGCACCAACAAAAACAAAAAAATACTCGTACAAAAATAACTAAAATAATTGATTATGTACGTTTTGTTTATAAATACATACTTATTAAAATTTTAAATTTTGTAAAAATCCCATAAAATATATTTAACTAATAATTTACAATATCTTTAACCAGGCATTTGTTTAGAAATCAATTTCAGAAGATTCTTTCATGTTATTTTTTATTTGTCATATATAAACACTATTATAAATTAAACTATTATAATGTTAAAATTAATTAGGTTATATTTACAAAATAATATAGTTAGAAATTCTTTGAACTATATAATCTACCTTGATATAACAATCAATAAACGATAAGATTAAAAATAAAAACCTACTAAATGTTTGCATTACAGCAAATGCGCATTAAAAGCAATAGTCGACTCTTCTATCTAAAAGCTACAGTTGCTCAAAGTCAGGCTCTCCGAAGAATCTTCAAAGTACCATGGTACATCCGCACAAATGACATGCTAAGAGGCCTTAGAATAGATCCGGTCAAAAAATACATAAGGGACAGAGTTCTGAAGCTATATCGATCGATCGAAAACCGACAGGCTGCCCTACTTAACACATTCTAATCTCAGAGTAATCACTAACCGCATGGGACGGTACGCAGATCTTAGATCAATCATTGAATAATCACGAAGATTATCAGGAATACTCAAATTAGTCAGAGAGATGGGCGGGACTCTGCAGAATCCCCCAGCTATCATAGAGTAAAAGTGACCTGATGCACTAACTCGAAAAAGGCTTAACATAACATAAAAGCAATAGTTTATAAAAAATATAATTCAAGTTAGGATTATGATAATGAAATAAGTTTAGAAATCTCAGATTTATAAATTATAGTTTATTTTAGGTATATTATATTTTCATAATAACTGAAGTCAAGCTATCATATATTTTATTTTTATAAAAAGTATCAAAATATATATATATATATATATTAATATATATAATGGTTGCTCGGAACACACTTTTCTGTCTGATGTATAGCAGCAAAAAACAACCAAAACAATGAATAAAAAAAAAAATAATAAATAAAGACAAATAAACGTGACGTTAACACAGTTCGTTTTTTAACAGTTTCTTAAAAACACTCGGGTTATCTGCATTTCTGGTTGTGCTTGAAAGAGCATTCCATATTCTAACAGACTGAATAAAGAAAAACTTAGTAGTGGAGGCAAAACTAAATCTGGGAATGATGAAAAGACGAGATCTGTTAGATCTAGTTAGCTGCAAGCAATCAAAAAGATACTTCGGCGTAGTAGTGGATAAAAGTCTGAACAAAAATAAGCATACTCGAAACTGCATATATTGTTCAATATCACACCCTAGAATCACATTTCTATAAATACCTAAGTGATCAAAGCGTCTAAGACCAAAAGCATATCGCGTGCAGCAGTTTACTAAGCTTCGTAACTTATTGAGGGATTCAACATCAACTTTTGAGTACACTAAAGAGGAGTACATAACAATAGGAATAATTAGTTGTTTTACCAACAAAACACGCATGTCAACCGGTGTATACTTCACAGAAAGGTTCAGACCTCCAAAACATGCAAAAGATTTTCTAATAACTTGGTTAACATGTTCGCCAGCATGCAGATTAGTGTTCAAATGAAAACCCAGACATTTTGCCGAATTAGTATATTTAAAAATTGAGTTGCCAAGTGTTACAGATGGCAAGAAATCAACATTAATATTTAGCCTAGCAATTGGTAGAATTGAAGACTTGTTAATATTAAGGAACATATTATTTTGCTTAGCCCATACCACTATGTATGATAAATCTGCAGTAGTCATTTGCACGAGGTCATTAATATCAGAAATCCGACAAGATAGATACATTAGAATATCATCTGCATACGCATGCATGAAAACTTTTGGATAGAAG